GGTTTTAATTAATTACTCTTTCTCTTACGCTCCCATCGTATTTTACTTGGATCAACAACAAAAGAGTTGTTTTGTCGATTAACAAGACCAAAGTCTTCCAAAACTGCATTTTCTATTGCAGCTCCGGCTCTATCTGAGATCCCATACCAGTCGCAGACGTTTGCTAATGCAGGAAGTGGTTGCTGATACTAAAAATACGAAGAACGAATAAATGCCAATCGAAGAAACATTGGAAACATAACCTTTGTTAATGTAGTTATCATCTTCATCACTTTGAGCTGTAGATTGACTTGCAATATTACCGACCATAGACACAAATATGGCATTGTAATGGTCATTTCTACGCCGCTGCTTTTTTAAACTTCATGGCAAATTTATTTGATGCAAATTTAACAAGAATGCCAAGGCACATCAATTTGAAAGTTGGGTAAAAATTTCTCAAAAAAGGGGTTACACCCTGCATCACCAAATTCGCTGAAATTTGGCACAAATGTTTAAAGATATAAGTTATGAAAGACTGTGAAATTTTTTCTTAAAATTCTCAACCCTTTAAGATTTACAGTAACTTGAAGTTAGTTATTTTTTGACTTAAAAAAAGAGTGGGTATAAAGCCGGAAATATGTCAATTAACCATTACCCTTTTAACAAACTTGTAGTAATGTTGCGAAGCTAAAACTTGGTACCAAAGGAGTTTAAAACCTGCTGAATCTGAAAATCATAAACTTATATCTCTCAAAACAATAAAATATAGTTTATTTTTAGATCCACAAAACGCACTTGGTAATGACAATAAAAAAGCCCATTGCCAACTATAGTTCTAGAAAAAATCTGACTGATAAAAAAAAGTTTTGGTTTTCGCTGTTTTAAATATTAAACATATATCTACTCTGCGAAGGAGTTATTGATGTTTTAGTTTTTTAATTTTTCTAAAGATATTTTGCATAAAAAAAAATTTGCAAATATATTTTGAATACGAAAACAATTATTTTTGTTTTGTAATAGCTTTGTAAAAAAATTACAAAGTTATTACAAAACATAGTTGAACACTTTATAAATTTGTTTCTTTTTACTTTCATTACATAATATCATGTCATTAAATTTAACAATATTATGTAACTTTTGTTGTTGATTGTTTTGTTGTAATAAAACATTTATTATCACCAATAAAAAAGTAATAAAATGTTATAATAATGTCTAATTAACATTACCATGTTAAGTTACATAACTAAATAAAATTACATTTAGTTATCTTTTACTTTTCCACAACTTTTTGTAAGTAGTTAATGGGGAATTTACAACAATTAGTAGATAGTTAGGCATTTAAAATAAGTCTATTAAACTAATAGCTACTTGTTCAAACAATATGCTCTTTATAAATACATATTGATATGATATTGTTTGTGTTCAAGTGTACTTTTCTTGTTAGGGACATTAAGATTATTTAAGATTTCTTGTATTAAGTGTTTAGACAGAGATTCCTCATTATATTTTTATATGGTTAAAAAAATTAATTGCGGCTTTGAAAATTAATTATCGAGCTTGGTATAAACAATCATACACTCAAGAAAGAAACCTGATTAAAGATATTGACAGCAATGATTGTAAGCTACTTGAAAAATGAACAAATCTGAAACAAGAACAAATTACCACACCATCATGATATATTAATAAACAAACTTTATTTTATGATATATTAGTTGTAAGATATGATGGTAATCAGAAAAGTTGCTGTAATCCATCTGAGACACCGAAAGGTGTGTAGAGGTAAAAATTTATATATTTATATTTCATTAGGTAATATCATTATTAATAAGTCATATAAGTTTTTTTGGTAATATTTTTTATTTTTGGTATATATATATTTGGTATATATATATTTGGTAATATTTGGTAAGATTTGTTTAATGTTTCATAGTTATTAATATAACAAATTGTATAGTAATATAATTACATAATATATATAATTAATGTTATTTAAGTAATGTAAATGTTTTCTTTTTAAGCATCTCTACGTGTGATTACAATGCATACTGTGTTAGAAGCAGAAACCATTGGTTCTTTTACCTGGAAAATCTTACCTGGAATCTTTTACCTGGAAAAAAACTGTCTTACCTGTCGAAGTAAAGTTATGACGTGTTTATCAAAAAGTATAAGTGAAAATAAAAATGATAAAGAGTTTGATATTGCTAATGAAAGATCCCTTCAAAATAAAAAAAGAAAGTGTAGATACACACTTTGCATCTGCCAGAGTATCTCCAATTAAGGTCAAAGGATTGCGCAAGTCAGGTAAAATCAGAGAAGGTAAACGAAAATTGACAGCATTAACAACCTCCATAAAAAAAAAAGTAAAAAAAAATTGAGGTTGTTTGCAATGATATAAAAACAAATTTGCCTCAAATAAAAAATATTGAAAACTTTTCAGATGGGTGGGCAGGTCAATATAAGAATTGCAAAAGTATGTTAAATCTTTGTTTCCATTGTGAAGATTTTGGTTTTACTC